CTGAACTGCTCAACTGGCAGGTGCATACCGGAAGCGGCGTGTTGTCACACGGCGGATGTCCTTTGTCAGCAGGACAGTTGCTGTTCAGAGCATCCCAGATATGCACGGCTTGATGGTGATTATGAGGAACTATAAGAATAATGGGGCCTACAACCCTCCTGGCACACTTGTGTTTTGGGATTAAATTTCTCATTCCTCACGATATTTTCCACCGTAGGTATATGTTTAGAGTACAGCCGGGGTTCGATCTCACGCCCATCAAGGTCTATACACGTTTTATACACTAGGTCTAAAGGTGATAAAACAAAATTGTTAATATATTTTCGTGTCGGCAATGATATAGTAGTTTTTTGAAGTGAAAACTTCTTTAGCGGCGTTGTACACTTTTTTTGGAATGGGCACAAAATGTTAAACTCGCGTCAGGACACGTGACCTGATCGAAAATGCGTAAGACGGATGGAGAGAAGACAGCTGGCGCGGCGTATTTAATGTAATATAAATTGTCATGTTTGTGTACGATAGCGCAATAAATAAATATTGTATTCTACCACATAAATGATAGTACTATTGTACTGATAATTAAAACAATTCGTGTAAAGTTATTCCCTAACCATTCCAAAATATCAAAAGTGCACAACGTTAATATTCAAGTTTTCACTTCTGCCAACCCGTCGTTTTTTTTAAAGGGCAGGCAGGAGGCTCGTGATATTAAATGATATCTATTTGATAGAGATAATTATGCTCGGCAGTGCGTTCCGGCCTTTTAAGAATTGGTACGCTCATTTCTTGAAGTCGAATTAGTTTGGAAATACTTCGGTGGGCAGTTGGTTCCACATAGTGTTCCGCAAAAACTGCCTTAAAAACGCTCAGTTGTGGAACGACGGACGTCGAAGTGATGTCCGATGATGAAACATGGAATGCTTAAATATTGTTGAATTTCAGAAGGCGACGAAGTACTCGAATATACTCGCTCTGAAGACAGACACACGACAGACGATCTAACATTCATACAATCCACTATTTACACGGTCACAGGTAACTTTGTTATAATTTAACTATTGTTAAGTGAAAACTTTTTAAATGTAACTAATATACAATTTTATTATTTGTTTTTGAAATAAGGACCTTTCGACAAGTAAAGCGAACTTGCTCTTAACCTGAAATAAATTATATTAAATCATTTCATGGGATCTGTACGAAATTATTAATCCTAAATGGTTTTTGGTTTGGTATGGCTGTTAATGGCACTCACGTAAACCAAAGACATCCATAAATGCAATTCTTCATTTTAGAATTAAGTACAATCTCGTATACAGATACCGGCAAATATCTTGAGCATTAAACAAGGGAGTGGGGGAAAGTTTGCGCATCATACGGGACGCGCGGGACACAAATGTCAACTGATTTACCAATCACGCGATCGACACGTCACTCTCCCGCCGCAGCGCACCACCGCCCGCCACCCCCTCCCAGTGATACCTAAAAATCGCTTCTGCGCAGGCAAGGACATTTACTCAAGATGTTTGCCGGTATCTGTATAAAATAACATAACGAATTCAATACGCCGTACGACGCTTTGGCTGAGTCTGTATTAAATTGACTCGAACTAATTTTATATCGTTTAATAATTCCAGCTTGCGCCCTAATCTTCATGATAGCAGTGGTCCTGTTAGTATCGGCACTGTGCAAGATGCACATGAAGAGAGCAGCTTTACGCGGTTATGCGCACGCGCATCGCGATACGGCGCATCACTACTCGGTGAGTATACATGATTTTTACCTATAATTTTGTGTGATTTGGTGTGTTGTATTAATTTATTATTTAAAAGACAAAATACTTAGCTAAAAAATTTAAAGATCTATCAAGATTAATTCAGCGGTGTAACTAAATTTGCAATTTGTATAAGAATTAGAATTTTCAGGCCCGCTACCCTCCGCGGTACGAATCTACGCGACTTTTAGATCTACCCGCATTGAGCCCTACGCGGCAGCAGACACAGGTAATTTGACATTTAAGCTTTATATTATAATTAAAATTCTTGCAGTAATTTTAATCACTTTTTAAATTCTATATCTGAGGTGTAATTTTGCTTACTAGAGCAACTGGGCAAGGGCCCTAAATTGGGCCGAAATCAATATTATTTGAACAATTCTTACACATATTTTATTTAATATTTCAGGGTGAACCCGAAAGCGCGACTTCTACGCCCATGTGCGAAGTCACGAATCCAGTCAATTCCGGCTTCGCTCTTTCGCGGCTCGGCTCCATGTTTTGTACGAGATATTCTCAGGTAGAATTATTTATTTACTCTCAGTGGTTGGACTGATTGGAGATCGACCCGACGACAAACGTGTATTACGAATCTAATAAAATAAATAAAAAATGACTCAGCGGCGCTACAACCTGTTTAAGTCTGAGTCTTACATTTCTGTGTCTGTTTCAAAATCATTTGTTAATCTAATAGGCAACTGATGATCAGCCTTCTGTGCCTGACACACATCCTCGACTTTTTGGGTCTAAGGCAAGCCGGTTTCCTCAGGATGTTTTCCTTCACCGTTCGAGCGAATGTTAAATACGTACATAAAAAGAAAGTCCAGTCCATTGGTGGTGATTATCACTATTAGGTAGACTTTACTAATTAAGATGATATAATTTTATTCCTACTTTAGTAAGTCATGAAGACCTATAGAAATATTAATTGTTATATATTATTTAACAAATTTCCAGGTCCCGACTCAAGGCGACGTCGAAATGACCGACGTGAGATCCTCTTCACTCAACAACTCGCCGACGCGGAACCCGCCCTCGGACTATCGCTCCCCGATTCCCAGTTCCGAATTATATTACACGAACCCGGATCTCAGAAACTTAGGCCGAGACCTCAATTACATGGCGACGCCCATAGAATTCTTCAGACGACGTAATCTACGTCGGAACACCTTAGACAGGGTCATAGACCAGCTGACTCACGCCCCTAGGCCGCTGACGCTGCAGCTGGGAAGGTTTCAGCTCAGCATACCGAGGTTCAACCGTCGCGAGCCCCGCCCGGACACGCCGGACATCGCCGAAATCGATATAGATAATCTAGATTTCGTGCGTCTCAACTCGAACGACACGTACACTTTGAACGGCAGGACCATTCGCTTGTTGGGGGCGGACTTTGAGAACTACCCGCATCTGGATGGGAATCGACCCCCTCCGTACAACGAGGCGATGAGATACAAAATATATGGACCTCCCCCGGAATATCTAAGTCGAGAGGGTATCAATAGGGAAAACGAGGCCACGAATAACATTGAAATGCCGCCGTGCTACGACGACGTGGGTCAAAACGGTAATAACGGTAATCCCGGTCGCATTACCGGTACTTCAACAAGTAATTTTGCGTTTTGTAACGGTAATAATACAAACGGTAATGAATTAACCGCCGGTAACGTCCCGAGTACCGAAAACGATTCAAACGGTAATGTTACGAATTCCCAAATAGAAAATGTAAATAATAATATTCCAGAAACGATAAGTTCTGTTATAGACAATTTGCCAGCCATAGACAGTGATTTTAATGCTAACGATAACGTGTACAACGAGACCGTTGTTGCCGAATGAGGGTTCCGTTCTAGAGATTCATTTAAAATAAATTCAAGTATAAATAAACGGAATACTGTGGAATCAAAGGTTAATATTAAAATAATAGTGTTTACTAAAGCTCTCGGGCCAACATATGTGACACACAGACAAACCTTATTCGAATAATATTTATTAATTACGTGTTTCACTTAACGCGTTGACAAAATAACAAATCTATGGACCACTCTAAGTACTTCCTCACCTTATTTGCCCACGTGAGATGGCCACATGTACCACATATGTCTATTGTGCCTTAGCTACTACACATTAGTTTTGCACATAAAGTAGAAGATTTCTATAATGTTTCATCTAAGCATAGTTTTGTATTCTATTTTTATGTCAGTGAATCGAGGCGGTTTACGCTCACGCTAAAAATACTGTTTTGACTCGAATAAATTTGAAGAAAGTTAATATTTCGTTGTCATAAATAGGCTTTTTAGTGCACTGACAATTGTCAACTGTCATAGACTATATTGAGCTTAAAATGTACAATAAAAATGCTAATTGAATAAAGGACTTCTTGGATTTTCATGGAGCTCATAAATTTAATTGACTCGTGTCACATTGAAACTTAGGATTAGAAGAGAAGCTCACCCCGACACATCATTAGAATTAATTTGAAAGTCATTTGTCAATGTCTCTGTGATTGTTATCAACGAATGAGTTTGTCTTGCCTCAAAGCTGCGTTTGCAATTTCTGCTTCCCAATAAATCATTTATTATTTAGAAAAATAAGTTCACGTGTGATCTGTTGCTATGCTGCTGGAAGTGAGTCAGTCGTCATAGCTTTAGACAAGAATGAATTTTGAATGATTGTATTCTCAAATAATTATTGCTTCTCGGTGAAAAAGATCTGTAGTTAATATTCCGGTTGATTATGATAATTAGATTTATGCTTTTAAGAGTACACACAATAGTGTTCTGCAATGGAATCACAAGATAGCGATGTGTGCCCAATCAGACTTGAACTGTAAATGGATTACACAAATCATTGAATTCACTTTTATTTGGGCTCTATATTCAACCGATCGTAATCGTTACGAGTAGATTCCTATATATCTGCGTTCTATAGAAAATGGTTTTCATAAAATTATTTGTGTACAGTAAATATGTAGTTGGTTACTCCTTCCTTCATACAATACTCATGTGTATATAATCTTTATATAGTTGAGTCAATTTTAAGTAAAATGACTGTAAATAAGTTAAATATCGGCGTTATTAAAATTACTTTTAACTGGTTCTATAATGATTTTTTTTTAATTTTCTTAAAATTGATTCGACTTTACGATGAATTACGATTTTAATATATCGCGGGTACGATAAGTTATAGGGTGTCCTGAAAAGTATTAAGAAACAAAACTGTTTACAGGGAAAGCCCTACAAACATTTTATTACATTTTAATTGAACTGATTTTGCAAATTATTTTTAAATTTCAGACAAATATTTACTTATTTTAAATCTAAATTGAAAAAAATAACAAGGATACCCTGTATAATAAACGATTGAATATGTTAATTGCACTCTGACCATTATACAGTAACAAAAATTGGAGATTTTGGTAGAACTAAACTGCCAAATTAAGAACTTCCTCAAATAATTTAGCATTCTCCAAGCATAATTCTCTCGGTATGAGGCAGAGATATTTCTTGGTCTGCTTTTCAAATTGAACTGGCAAAGAGTGTGTGACAGCCAAACTAACTAAAATAATCATTTGTTCTTGTGCATTAAACCCATAAATGTAGGAGACAAATGCTAGATGAGTTTTATGTTGATCTAACATTTGAATGACTTTGGAGAAGGGTAATTGTGTAACCAAAGTCTCCAATATAGCTATAAATTAGGAGTTGTCATCTCGGAAGTAAGATCTTTAAAATGTGCGAATTAGGAAATGCATTTTCTTCAAAATACAACACACATACAATTAGTGCGACGTCCAATATTTAATAGTGAAATTCGCAATTTTTTTTTAAATTTGAATTCCTTATCGTTAAGAAAACTTAATCTAAACACATATATAATCTTTATTACTTATGTATTTTGAAGACAATTGTATCAATAAAGTTGAAAATTCCGACCAAATTGCTTTATGTATAAATAAGTGTATATAAATGTGTTAGATTTTCTATATCAAATAGGTCATCACCATTTCGATTGTTTGCCTGTTTCATAAATATAAATCTATTTTAGTTATTTAGTTTATTTACTTACTGTTTTCTTCTTTAATTTGAGGCAATGCGTCAAAATTCACATAATTTTAAATTGTTTAAAATGTTATGGATTAAGTAAGATATATAGAGAGGAAATTGCCATAGACAAGAAAAAGAAAAAAAAATCATTAGCGCCATCTAATGACAGGGTTATAAAAGTGTTTGTGACATTTTGAGATCGTAGTTATGAAACGGGTACTCGCTTTGATTGTTCCACAACTTTCGCACAAAATGTACTTAAAGAGTTTCGGAATTTCTTATCATTTTCATGACAACGAAATACAATAATTGAACATATCATTGAATTGTTTAGTAATTATGCTTATAGCGTTATTGTTTGTTTGTTTGTCACTGATTTAAATGTTTCGGAAGATAACAAAATCATCAGTTTGTTAAATGACAATGAGTTTATTTCGTTCTGGCAACTCTTTGATGTCAAGCAATTTCAGATAAACTTACATTATAAGTCTACTGTATATATATATATATAAACTTGATTTTGTTGTTTGATGTGATAATGTTCAGCCTTGTAAGGATATGTGATATATAGTAACTGAATGGTGGACATAAACAAACAAACAAAACCTTTCATGTTATAGAATTATGTTCATAAACGATTGTTATAGTACAAAATATACTGATGCCTTACCATTGTTAGTGTAATAAACATTGTTTTAGATAATAGTCTTTCATTTAGATTTGAAGTATTGAACACCCATAAATATTGGTGTTTTTTAACCCTTGTTTTGTAAATGGGCGAGAAGACTGGACCTTTTCTTTTATATAAACTTATAATCGTGTAAATTAATACGCGTGAAGTGAATTATTCATATTTGATGAACCCTTTAAAACAGATGTTCTCGGCCGAGCTGCGATTTTGGCAAGAGGAGGTCACACTCGTTATTAGGTTTTTATTTTTGTTACTTTATTTAAAACCACTTCTTATTGTTTGGCCGTAAATGTACTCGGTTTTAATTATCCAGACTACGAATTAAATTTAATTAACTAAAATCGCCCTTAGAACGTAAATTTCCTTAGATGCCCGATTCACAAAACGGATTATAATAAATATAGTTACTCACGACCAATACAGCATGCTAACGCTGAATGATTTTTTGAAATCGATAAGACTGATGTATTGTTGAAATAAAAACGTGGTTAGATAAAAATATTTATTTCTACATACAATCACGTCTACACATTGCAAAACTATAGTTTTCTATACATCAATCTAAATACTTATGGCACTTAAAATATATTATTTACATAACTTATATTGCTGCTTTATTCACGTTGTAATCATCTGCACGTAAAACTGCAATTTTAATATTTGATCGTAATAAACCTTATGCTAAAGACAACTCGTGACTGCAATTCGTAAAAGCTAATTACTACATTACATATTAAAGGGACACAAAAATAACATTGTGTATATTATGGATGTATAAATTGTAGACTATTTTCACCGTTTTATTGCTATTTAACAAACAAATAATACTGTTTTGTTGGTGACAGATCTTAAATAAAAATCAACCTGTGTTTGCTTGCATATTTATTATTAAAGTGTGATGATTCGGTTGTAATAAAATTGTTTATGCAACTATCCTCTTAAATAATAATAAAAATGCAGATCAAAATAAATCTATATTAAAATTATAATAATATATGTACTTATTACATATTTATCTTAGGCCACTATATATTCTTTATCATTATTCTTATATTCAACGATACCTACATATCTAAAATCTTTAACTTTTAACCAGCAGAAATCGAACCTGCGACCCTGAAAGATCTCATTATTAAAGCCGTTATTTATAGTTGTTTAAATTTATCGCAAAATGGTTATTACGACGAAGTTCACATTTAACATTCTAAACACGATACATTTAATACTTGTTCTATAAATTATTTGAACAAACACAAAAATGCACATAGTGATAGCCATTGCCAAATACTCATAACTAATAATATAATATATATATATATAAACAAATAATTGTGTCATTTGTATATTTTATTAGTCAAAAGGACCGATGTTAATTCTTTGACAGAACAAAAAGAACCCAATTTGTTTTATTCATGTGCTATAGCTATAATATACAAATAATAGAATGCTAATTACATGTCATAAATTGTTGATTCTCTATAAAATTATACTTAACCTAATTAGTCACTCTATACATATTTCACTGTTGTCAAGTTTGACGTCATCACTGTACACTTTTGGTCACTTAATCGATTACACTTCACCACATTTGTGTCCAGGATAGTCTAGGTTTGCGGGGGGTCATCTTCGGCCGGCAACGCGAGCATGTTGGGCAACTTGAAGTGTTGCATGTGAAAAGGTGGCTCGGGGCTAGTGGATTGGCGACTAAACTGAAAGCAGTTTCAATAACTTATACATAGTAAATGGGATTAAGGAATTTAGTGTTTAGGTATTAAAATAACATTATTGACATATTGAGGACTTGGTTCTGACAAGGGTTATGTAGGTGCTTCATAAAGGAGTAGTGTTTTTTGAGAAGACTAGACTAGATAATATAACTAACTTGAGCACTCCGTCCTCGCCTCCGCCTCGGTAAGATGCCTTTGCGCGCCATGAAGAAACTGAAAGCGCATTAAAAACCTTTAAACAAAATAAATACAGGCTTTGTGTTGCCAAACTGAAAACATATCTTATATGGTTTCAGTTTATGTGTATATAAGAAAAATGTGTACGCCATTGTGACTGGCAGACTATGCGAAGACAATCAGACAGAGAATTATATTTTCTTGGGCATGTATATCAATGTTTTAAGCATAGAAGTTAACATTCGTCGATCAATTACTTACTTACCTATAGAAAAATCTAAAATATATTATTTTCACAATTTCTTATAGCGGGGGCCTTATTACGGGACTTCACTATACATACTTAATATACAAATATATATTGAACTATATAGTAAATAAATTCAATACTCATTATCACAGCAAATGATCACATTGCAATCCTAATTTGAAATTACACACAGTTCAATACCCTAAACTTTGGGTCGTTCACATACTTAAAAAACCGAGTCGCTTTTTAGTTAATAATTAATTATAAATAAATTACGTACATTTTTATTTTTGGTACAGATGTACCTAAACACAAGGAGCTTCACTCAGTTAACCAGATATTAACCAAGCAATGCAAAGAAGATATCGCGCAAGTTTTGACCCAAAAATCGACGGAATTCATACATTTTGAAAATTAACCATTGAATATTTAAATGTTACCGAATAGTAGATATGGGGATGTTAAACTGCTCAGACACAGTTTGGAAGGTGAGCCCTCGACTGACGCAGTCGGCCGCCTGACGCAGCTCTACCTCGCTGCGCCGGATTCGCTTGTTCATGTTGAATTCTGGGCCTTGGGATTGGCTGGTCTGAAAATGTGCATTTCAATAGAATTTATTAAAATATAAATAAATTTACAACAGAGCTTATTCGTCTCTTTCTATCAAACCATGTTTACTCACTAATGGAAAGAGACAGAACAGTGTCAAAAAGGGTTAAGGCAAGTTTCTCACCGGTGGTCGGTCCCCGACGTGTATCACATTGACGGAGGGCCCATACCCTGGGCCAATAGTCATGATGGTAGGTCTCACTTCTACAAACGGACCTTTGGACTGCGATGTTGGCGGCTGGAAAAAACACCATTTATGAATCCGTTATTTTTTATACAAATTTATATTAATATTGATTGTAAAATAATATATTTTAATTGACAGAAAGATACACAAATATATATAGGCAAGCGATCTTTTCCAGGCTTCTTAGAAAAACTAACTAATCAAAACCGCTGTAAAAACGATGATCCCAAAACCATGAGGTGGTTACCGTTGGCACTTGCTGTATAATAAACGCCGGGGGCTCGTCTCTAGCGTCATAGTTGTGCTCTCCAGTGACGCCCGTAGTGCGTATTGACCCTTCAGATTTCTCAGAATCACTTCCATCGTATTGACACTGCACGTTGGCTATCGCGAACTCTGAAACATGAGATCAGATTAGAATCATGATTTCCATGTTCCGAGAAATCAGGTTCAGAGAAAGAGAGAATAGATTCAATAAATTACGAATTTAATTCATTTTCTGATTGCTAAGTATTGAAAATTATTGAACAAAATTATATATTTTACAAGCTGCCCCCGCGAACTTCGTTCCTCCTTAATGTGATTTTACTTAGCCTACTTTTTTAGTACATACCAACATGGAACATTTTGCTATGCTACCCCGGAGACTGTTCGAATTTCCGGAATAAACCTCCGAGTTCAAGTTATAAGATTAGTTAACAAATAAAAAATAGGGGTTGACTGTAGAGGGGTCAAATTAAGGGTTGTATGTATTTTTGTATCATAAAAAAATAAAAACAAATTTTTTTAAAATTCTTTTGGGGTGAACACCCCTTATCACTTAGGAGTTTGAAATATAGATAGTAGCCGATTATCAGACTTGAATATGCAAAAAAAAATTCATAAGAATCAGTCGAGCCGTTTCGGAGGAGTATAAGAACGAACATTGTGACACGAAAATTGTATATATTTGATATAATACACAATACATACCGACGTATTTTAGAAATGACATCTTCGTAGGAACTGGTCACAGACTACATCCAATTTAAAAGTAAAATATTTCTATACAACCAGCAGCGTTCTTTATTTCTAAAGAGATTTTATAACCATTCAAAGAGATATTCCGAATTCTATAGATATGCTAAATATATTGCCTAAGGCAAGAATCGCGAAACAACAGACCGCCAACAAAACGTCGAGTTACGTTACTAACGTAATTAATCCCGATATAAATCCCTGAAAGAAGTTTTATTTATTTTTTAGACATTCCGAAGGAATATTAGTAGTATTTTTATGTACTTTTTACATTTACTTAATATATATTTTTTATATATGTGATATAGAAAATTTGTTTAGTTAAATAAAATACTATATACACAACATTTACCATTTTATTTATATTAATTTACAAACCTTATATATCTGGTACAAATTGTTATATATAAATATTTGACACATTAAAAAAAAATTGTTGGCTTATGACCTACTTATAAACTTCCTTAAAAAGCATTCGTCACGGCCTCGGCAGGGCTCTCTGTAAGTTCGATAACGATTTCAATTACTTCATAATTAGGTGGTCTCTTGCAATGAAACTCAATTTTAATGCAAGCTCTCAATATACGACGATGTCACACACGTGTCGTCATTACAAGTGCTTATAAAAACAAATTATTTACGTCGAAATCGATATTAAAATCAATAAGTTCCACCTGATGGAGCATATAAAATCCCCGACCGTTACAAAACTTGCTTATTTAATAATTGATCTAACGTCGATTAATTCTTGCTAGTTAATTTTTTCGTAAATTCCTTATATAGCTAAATTCATTTAAATAAATTCTTTATGACCAACTTTGGTTTTTAGGAACAAAATTAAAATTAAACATTGGCACATAATATTTTTGGTAGAAATTAAATTGCAATATAAAAAACATAGTAGTTTACAAAACTATGTTGCAGGCTGTTAACACATACAATACCTATACATGTAAAATTACTTACAAAATTACATAAATAAATTGTATTAATCGTAAGTACATAAATCAATGCAGGGGTACATAAATAATGTAAAATGTAACTGAAATTATGTTTATGTATAGACTAGATTAAAAAAACAAGACCCGCGACTTTTAATTATTATTAACACTCATAAACACTAATAATATTATGAAGATTTTATTGGTTAATTATAGCTATCTAAGTACATCTTCAATTGACTTAAAATAAATATACTTACTAGACACAATAGATGGTGATATTTTGTACAAATAAATACTTTTATTTTTTATTGAATAAATAAGACAAAACTTGACTTTTAACTATACAGTTAATCCTAATAATATTTTACGATTACAGTCTAAAATACTTTTGGCATATTAAGTAAACGTGTACTTGACTATAAAAAGGCTAAATGCATACATTTAAATTAGGGGTTTACATGTTGTATAAAACTTTCAAACCATTTTTAATTTATATTCCTTAATCACGTGCTATCTGGTAGGTATTTCTTATCTTCCTCAAGAAATCCCGCAGTATAATTGCACTCTTTGAGCTATACTTTTTAAAGGTCATACATAAATCTCGATGGATAACATTCTATATTCAGTGGTTTTTAAAGCACCTGCTAAGTTTTGACCTTACAGACCATCTTCAAACCTTTCGGACCTGGTTTCCGACATTAAGTCTAAAGGATCCAAAATTTGTGTCGGTCTATTTGTCCCGCGTCGACCTTTAGAAAATTGACTTTTTATATCATACTTTTCCATCCAGTTCCGTAAAGTTTTCCGCGGCACGCCATATTTATTCGAGGCAGCATAGACGCTATATCCCTTTTTGACGGCAATCAACGCGTCTCGCAGGTGCTGTGACGAATATTGCTTGTACGATTTCTCTTGAAATACGTCTGTCTCTATGTTGACGATTGCGTTCGGTCGCCGTCCGACTAGCCTCGGCCTCGCATGCACGTTCAGAGGTATTCCATCCATGTCGATGAAATGTCGCGTCACGATTTCCGTGGAGGTCCGCACACCTGCAAGCGAGGAAAAGAAACCGGTTAATGGTAGAAAATTGTGGCAACACAGAAAACGTCAAATGACAAACGTCATGTTGACAGTTACGAATACGGCGGTTTCTTTTCCTGGCTTCATACAGGATAGGGGTGGGAAAGCGCGTAAAAAGCGAGGAAAAGACGCACTGGGTTGTACTTTACACTTTGCAATGAAGATGTATTGCGACTGGTTGGATTTTACGGTATATAAACATGCATATTTAGTAAACGTTTAAAATAAAAAAAGTATGTTGCATACATATAAATATTTATTGACATATAACATACATTATTATTTTCGGGCGGAGTTATATAGCAGACTCGTCAACTTACTTTAAAAAATCCGGTTTCTAACATAATTAACGTTAACATTAAATATACAGTAAACAAAAACCCCCTAAAGAAGTTAAACGCGAAATATATTAATAATACAAAATTGTCGTCTTATTGTGACTTATCACACCGTAGCAACGAATATTTCTATCTTCCTGTTAACATAAAAAATGGAAGCAAGACGGCAGTTCTGTTTACTTTAAGGACATTCTGAGAATTTCGTATTATTAGAGAAACCGGATAAAAGAAACGTATAATTTTATAAATTGACAATACATTTACTATAATATTAACTTTATGCATGATAAAACTCAAACTTCCAATTATTCTACTAAGTACATAATATTAGTAAATAATATAACGTGAATATAAGACAAAATTAATACTGTGAACAAACGTTTAGAAGTAATAAAATAACTTGATAATGATTTTATACACTTCAACAGTGGATTTAATTTTTATATTTTTTTTTCATACTTATCAGCGAAATTTTCCTATGAAATAGTCAAATAAAACCGTAAAATCTTAAGGCAATAAGTACATATTGGTATATAAACTATCTACAATAATTATACTTACGTACTAAAGTTATGTATATGTTATATATACTAAATAGGCACTTCATGGATTACGGGCGTAATATTCTACTAAATATTTGTTACTGGCAACACTATAACCATAAATTCCAATTAAAAACACTACTGAACACATACGATTCAATATTTAGTAGAATACGCCCATAGAAAGTAAAGAAAGGCATCCAAACTCTGAATTAAATTCCAAAGTTACCCTCATTATTACGAACAAAGGACACTTCGAGTTCTATATTTCCTTTTGAGAATAGATCAAACATACATTTTTGGTAGTAGAATATTTTAGTACATGCGAGCTAAATTAAGATAGGAACGTAGTTTAGGCTTTTATAATCTTTTTTACTTTCAATCATAATATATCTACTAGGTTTCTTCGTTCAAATTATTTAATGTTATAAAATTGCTTGTTTACTATTTAAACCGTCGCAACGTTAACGCCTAAGCAACAAAAAAAAAATGTTTTCAATTAGGCCTGTTTAACAAGTTATAAAACATAGATATTAAGTACAAGTAAGATTACAAAGCCACAGCAACCGTATACTCAGTTCAATTAAACGTACGTTTAAAGTTTATAAAGATTTGGTACCACGTTAAGTACTTCAGTTATAACACTACATAGTTCAAAGGGCGTTTGGCATCTCTGAGAGATGGCAAACTGTATCTCGTTTAATCTAAAACACTTAATACTTCTATATGATAATAAATATTAAAAACTTTAGAGCTGCTGCAATAATCCCTGAACACTCAAATGCCACTCAAATGTAGGATTTACTTAAAAGTGTAGAAAATTTTAAGCAGCGCCTAATTAGATTGACTTTTGTGTATTTGGATAAAACACTAAGGTACTAAAATTTTAAGTCTTTTATAACGGACAATGTCCAGACAAGCACGAGGTTAAGGCCAAATATTTACTTATGTACTATAAACGCCTTTTACTATCTCTATTGAATAAGCTGACTGTCAGTCAGTACTATAAATCATTAATTTGTCAAAAGAGAAGAATAATTATCAGTCCTAATTTACGTTACGTTCATCACAAATATATTTTTTTTGTGTTATAAAGATGGTTTTATTATATTTGAAAACCAGAAGTAATCGGCAGTATTCAATAGAGATAACGTGGCTTTTTGGATAACATCAACACAATAACTGTTTTAGAGGAAAATAAAACGTTTTAAAGTATTTCAAAACTGTTCTAAATGAACATTTTGGTATCTAACTTTAACGTTTCAATGTTATCCGACTACATTACATTTACTATTACTATATAACAACTAAAATAAAATGCCGGGACTACCAAAATGGTAGAATTTACTGGCAACATTCAAGCTAATTATTGCACATTTAAAATAAATTGAACAGTATATTACGTGGAACTAATTGATTTAATCTATATACTGTTAGTATTTATTAAAAATAATAATTTAAATTCCCTATTAAGTTATAATATTAAATAAAATCTTATTATAAAGTAAAACCAATTTAAATATTTTTATGCACAGCATATCATTTTCGAGGTCTTTGGATTTAAAAAAATATTAATGGAAACAAATAAATATAATTTTTAAATCTGCAAGTTGTTAATATCTTTGGCAGCCATTTTCACACCATACAACAAATGTGTTTTTATTTTTTGGCAAAAATGTTAATATTTTAAATATTTATTATATGGTGATTAACTTTGGTAATTTAAAATTCAATTTGGCATAATATAAGGCAGTTCTTTGGACGAACAGTCTGACAAATCCCAAGTTTCCCATACGTTGGTGCTAGGGCGTAGGCGCGTTGTATTAAAAATACTATTATTTTTTGAGAGACACCTCTCCGAATGTTGTTTTCACTTAAAGCAGTATCAAATGTACAGGTAAAATAGTTGTTTGGCGCCGATAAACCTAATACTATTATGCGCGATTAAGTATAGCAATGTTCACACAGGGTTATTTCGAAAATAAACAATAATTAAGCTCCATCTATAGAAATCATAAAAATATTAATTTTGAATAATACAAAACGTTTACGAGACTAACACACAAAATAACCCTGTTGTAATATAAAATATAAATAACTTATTCATGCATTGACATATTAAGAGCAGAGTTGCCCTCATTTTTGGTAGAATCCTCGAGCGTTCTAGCGTTCTCGTCCTCGCTCGACATATGCGTTGTAAACGACAAAAAATGCTTTCCGAAATCCATTTCGGGATCGTAATTGGCCTCTTCGTGTTCCAGGATTTGTGGTTCGATATTGTCAGTTTTGAATTCGCGTTGTTTCTTACTGTTCTCCACGAACTGTTTAAGCTGTTGCGGCATCGGGAACGAAGACTTAATGTGGCATCTCTTCATCCAATTACGAAGCGATTTTCTCGGCACTTTGTGTGTTTGAGCAGCTCTGAAATTTTCAAATTGTTTTAATAAACTTTGAGAACTAAAACAAATATATCATTGTTTGATTTTTGAGTATGAATAATGTGTCCCTATTCATTTAATTCACTTTAACACGCGAAAACGTTTACCTGTAAATACTCCCTCCCTTCTTGACATCCATGAGAGCCGCCCACATAGCTTCGTTAGAATAGCGTCTGTTAGGATTGAACTTCCCCATCATAACCCTTTCCAAGTCTTTCCTCGAAAGCCCCGAGGAACTAACTTCTTTTCCCTCCAGAAATTGATCCAAATCCGCTTTCAACACTGTGTCGCCGATGTCAACGTTTTTGTCCTTAAAAATCGGTGGACGGCCGCGACGCCTGATGGACTTTTCCCCAATCTTTGGGTAAACTTCTTTAGCGGCGTCCTTCGGTCGGGGAATAAGTTCGACCTCAGATTTTTGGTTTTTCGCCTCGTTTTTCTTTTTTATTTGGTTAGCTTTCAATAGAGACACTTCTAATTCGCCGTTTTGTTCCAACCAGGACTTGTAGTAGTCGTTTTCTAAGGTTTTCTGGACGAAATCGTCACTCACGTTGGTGATGCCATATTTAGAAAATTCGTTTTGGATTTCCGTCGGGGTCATTTTTGATAGTTTACTTATGTATTGAGAGTTGGCTAAGTTTTGTAACTTCGTTTGAAAAAACAATTCACTCTCGGGCTTCACGCGTAAGTAGGGCTTACGAGCTGAAAAAAATAAAAAGAAATCAATTCAAATCGAAACTACCGTGAACCATGAATGCAGCGATGACAAATGACATGTCTGTAAGAGAAAAAGCTTCATAAGAGAAATATCTCGCAACTACATTCATGGTTCACAGCTCTACCGAAATCTATCAAATCCAGTTGCAATACTAAAAAAATTGGCCTACCTTACAGACTGTCATTTATCTTGTCAATGCCATTCACAATATGATCTTCACTCACTTAAACCCGATTTAGCCGCGCGTAATTAAAAAATAAATTTTAAACAAAAAGCAAGTGACGAATGAAGTCACATTGCAAATAAACATTGTTTTGAAAAATAAAAAAATAATATATATTAAAGAAAACTTACCCGAAGTTTGTCCTAAGCTACTTCCGGGTTTGCTAGTTTCCTCTTCCTGTTAAACGAATAACGTGACTTTAATATAAAGACGAAATCCAAATTGTTCATAGTCTAAAATTGATTATTAAATAAATATGACGGATTTTGATAGTTTTATTTACAAAGATATAACTAGACTATCCTACTAGCTTAACAGTAAGGTAACAATGATTAAATTTAAATTTAAGCTTTGCTGAGATAGAATATACTAACTAATAAAACGAATGTTTTGAGTATAAATAAAATTACCAAAATAAAAAACCTATTATAGCTATTCAATGTATAAATAAATGAATCTTCCTCTTCTTCTCTGTGGAATAAAAAACAAATTCACCTCCTGATACTCCATATGCTCCTGGTCCAACTCGCCGTAGTAAAGTCCATCTTCTTCTACCGTCTCCTCTTTCACTTCGGAACCCCTCTCCCTCTCTTCTGATTTACGCTTCTTCTGTCCGTTCGTTGTTATCTTTTGCTGTTGTTGGCCTGTAAATATTTTTAAATAGTTTAAATTTAACTTTTTGTGCCTCAACTTTTCTATAAAAAATTATAATTTAAAGAATATGTATCATCTCACCGTTAGTATTGTCTCGCTGCGCGTGCGCAACCAAGGCCTCACTCGCCACCGAATAGTCCTTGTTCTCAGTCTTAACTTCTGAGAGCGAACCGGGATCACTCGAACAAAGGCCTGATAAAAAAGATGTCTTATTTAAATGTGAAATGAGATACAAATCAAGAAAGGTTTTAAGACTTTTCAATTACGTATGATTGAACACTTTTGGAACGTTTAACGCAAGGCAGAATACGAGATTCCACCAGTAGTATCACTCCGACGTCCGTCATTCCACAACTGGGCGTTTTTTAAGGTAAATTTGGCCGCGCCTCCACCCCTTTTTGCACAGCTACCCACTGAAGTGTTTCCGAAGCAAGTCGAGAATAGAGCGTACCAATTCTTAAAATGCCTTCAAATCGTGAGCTCTCTGGCATTGAGAGTGTCCATGGACGCAGGTATTACTTAACATCAGGTGAGCCTTCTGCCCGTCATTATATATAATTCTGTGGCCATAAGTCAGAATATGATAAAATGTATAAGTACATAGTAATGAATTGCATTGTCTGATTTATGACCACAGAATTATAAAAAACTGGAAACTAATCATATTGAAGTAGGCAACTCAATGTAAAACACGAACGTATTCGTTATTGGAATTGGCCTTTAATAGGCCAAGCACACAATGTAATATCGGTTACGTTCAAGAAAGTTTAAGAAACAAAACCAACAAAATTTAAAAATACAATAACAATTTGGGACCTTTTGCATAATTTTGACACGAGTTTACCTCTTAAGTCACGGATTCAAGGGCGTGACTTCGAAGGTTTTAATCAACTTTTTAAGTTAAATTTAAGTCCGGCTACGCACTTGCAAGCCTTCTGGCAATGTGAGTGTCCATGGGCGGCGGTTTCACTTAAGTCAGAAGTCAAAATCATTTATATAGGTAACACAATGTACACTTATGAACGTCAAAAAAGAAATATACATTAAATGCTTCTAATTTTACATTTACTGCCAGTTCTCAAATCGTAGAACGGAAGAGAAGAACTGGCATCAGATGAGCCTCCTGCCTGTTTGCCTTCTATTACATAAAAAAACTTTAACTACATGTAAGCTCTACCTCTGATCTGCAGCGCTTCAGCGGACTTTAGTAGACTGGGGAGTTCCTCCTGAGTTACGTTAACTTCTCCTTTATACATGAAATCCACTAGCGCTTGCATTTCACTGAACCTGGAGATGAAATAATACTCAAAGTAATATTTAATAATGCAACAATGTAGTACAACTGACTTGAACTTTTTCCTTTTTATTAAAGTTCACCACATCATAATATATAGTGCTTTATCTACAGTATTTGTTATAAGCTATCTTTTCTAAAATATATGACAATTATGGTAATTATAAATATTACATAAAATAAAAATAAATCTATTAAACTTCCAATTATAGAGTTAACTATAAAATTTTGCTTAACAAAGCGTTACGCTACGTTTTTATTTAAATAGATCAGCCCACTACCGAATATATGAAGCTCTGGTTAAGAAGTGTTTATTCTGTAATAAAGGTTGGTTTTTGCAGACGGAATTCGGAAAATTCTCACTCCCTTGACCTACGTGAAATCTGCGCTCCAAATTTAAGTTTTTATCTCTCAACTAAGATCACCAACTAAGTTGAGAGTCAAATCACGCATTTCCATGTCACCACATACCTCATATCCCTCATAAGCACGATGGGATGCTTGCAAGGATTCTGAAGCAGCAATCTCTCTAAATAGGCCGAACAGGCGGAGAGGACCAACTTGTGACATCTCAACTGCCGGGACTCACAGGCCAACGTCACATCGGCGAACTGCTCCGTAAGGAGAAGACGAGGGAATACTGACTGTAAGCAATGTCGTACAAAGGTCATTATTATTATTAACATATTATATTAATTATTATTAACTAATTTTCAATTAAAACATAGTAGTGATGTACTTAAAACTGACCTGTAAATTAGTATGATAGGAGTTCCACCTCACGCAAAACTGCTGTGGAGGTAACGCCATATTGGTTTCCATAACCGATTAGTTTAACATAATATATCTTTGGCCGATAAATTGCACAAATCCAAATGTATCACAGATTATATAAGTACAAAGAATATAGAAACTTTTTAGACTAGATTATAAGTAAATACTGGAGTGCCGCTTATATCTGAAACAAATATCGATAATTAAAAACATTTATTTCATTCATGACTTAGAAAATTGATTAAAGTGTCAAAAATTCAAATTTTAAACCATTTATACTGAAACGTAATTTAATGACGATACAAAATATTGAAAAATACACAAGTTATAAAAGTAGGGTCAAAAAGAATTTAACATAAGCCGCCAAGAGACCCTAGTCAGTCGTATTGATTTTCATAACTTTTTTACGAAGGGGATTTTCCGGCATGCCACCGTCTCTCTCACACGCATTAATTATCTCTCTATCTATTTCTTTTGTCAGACATGAAATAAAAATACGTAATGAGGGGTTATTCAAGTCGGTTTTGTCGCATAATTTACTTGGAAAGGAAAAGGCTTGGTGATTTTGATACATAATATTTAAACAGTGATGATGAAATAAAACGATTTCCACCATAATTTATCAATAATACAATTTACAATACGTCTTGTTCTTCTATTTTATTACGATTATATTAGAATACTTTACAGTATTAAACATTGTGCTATGTTCGTAATAATATAGATTTAGGTCTATATACTCAATAAAGATTATAAGAAATTGTCTTCGGTGCGCTTCTTATCTGAGTCTTGAGGTTTAGAAAATTCAAAGTAAGTGAAACAAACGCTAGACGTTAAAAAAACAAAGCGAGGGTCCAGGGTTGTTGACCTTAGGGGCGCGCCTAAAATAAACCCGGGCGGGGGTCTGTAGCGCTGGGCTATATTCGGATACATTTTGAGGCCAGACCATGCTTCTTGGTAGCGCAATGAATCTTTACCGACTGTAAGAAGACCTATTCATTACGATTGCAGTCTATGTTATTTACGATGAATAAATGTTTTTATACTTTTACGGTTAAATCGTTGAAGAACTTTGGTATAGATGGGACCTTGAGATTATTAATACGCCCAATGGGATACGTACTTTAAATTTTGAGAAATTAAAAAAGAAAATACTAATAATAAAAATATATAAGGCAAATATCACCGATATTATTGACGTAGTTTTTACGATGAACGAAGAACGATGCAAAGACTGATAGGTAACCATTCTCGCTCACACAGGCTAAGGTGCAGTCATTCGGAGAAATGGTTCCAGAAATTCTGTAGCGTAGGTAGCGTGTGTACTTATAATTAATTCAGTGCTTAAAAGCGTAAGCATTTAATATTTGAATGATTTAGATCGCAGTGAAGCCAGTTTTGGGCCCTCACGTGTATCCATTAATATAAATAAATTGTAGATTATGTGGTTAACAATACAATAATTGAAACACAAATTGCATTGTTATTGGTCTATGACATAATCTGAACGCCGAGAATTGTCATTTTGGAAGATTATATTTATAGCCGCGTACAAAGATGTCTGATCTTAATGATAGGTTTTAGGGCATTACCTTACCAATTAATATACTAATATTAATTGTTTGTCTTTTTACGTCGCGACGAAACAGTGGATTAACCTTTAATTATAAATCCCGAACGTTTACAATTTGACCACATATTTTACTTGTAGATAATATAAGTACCTATACTATAGTGATTCATAAAATTTCATTAAACAAGGAGGACAATCAAACACTTATGAAAATATATTAGAAATATACACCTGTGAAAATGACATGAACTCATAAAGGCGTAATGAAAATCCCTTTTACACAGCTAGGTACAACGCTCACAATCAGGGATCGGACTCGCATAGGTCAATTATAGTAGGTACAAACTGTGCCGTTACCGAAGTGTTAATAGATGTTGGTATAAGGCCGCTGTGGCAGAAATAGGATGTACAATCCTGCTTCTATTATCAAATTTTAACCAATTAAATGGCAACGTTGCGGTTTTTCACTAAATGACTGAACCGTTTTCCATGCGGTTTTATTATCACACTGATAAGGTTGAACAGAACTTTTTACGAACCATTATGGAAAACGTTTTTCTAATCAATAAATATAATTCGTAAAACCTTTTTTGCGAATAATGGAAATTTATTTAATTCTAATTTATTACACGTGTAGTTATGCGATAATTACTTTTCAAAATCTGAATTAATACAATAATTAATGTTATAAAGAAAAGTTTGCACGCTTGGTCTGAAGGAAGTGGGGTCTCGAAATAACAGAACGATTTATATTTTTCGCGTTTTCCTCTTTTTAGACGAACGAAGTCGAGCAGGCAACACCAAAACCATACGCGTAAAATGACTATATCTTTATATAAAAGACTTGTAATCTCCAAGGGTCTTAATGTGTTATCTTGAGATCTCTGATATATAGGTCCCTTAGTATCTTATCGTTGCACAGGCTTGGTCATCGCTGATAAAAATGAGACCAAATGAACGAAAACTAAGTTTTATAAGTTTAACAAAGAAACTTATTTAGATATTTGAAATCAATAGATAGTAATAATTAATAGAGATACATCTATAGAGAGAACACGATAGTTCTAATAATACGTAGTGGCGCGTCTATATATTATATACTTGTTGATGTATATTTATGTTTGTGACGTGTTAGCGATGGTTTACTTTTCTTTATTTGTTTTGAAACGTTGATTGATTAAATCCACACGTGAAGCCGCGAACAACAACTAGTAGTTAAAAAATCATTAAAAATCTGAAGATATGCTTTAACCCGAATGTGAATTTTATTTAAATAAATGACATCTATTTACATACATTAAAAAACGCGATATTTAGCTTGTTTTTGATATTGTTCGTGATCTCTACTTATTAAAACAGGTTTAATATTGTAAGAATGCGTAAATACCATGAGCGTAGAAGATAATATACTAATATACCAAATCTCAACAAAAAATTGTATTCCTTTTATAAAAAAATATTATCCAAAAGGAATATTGAAGAAAATGTTTTAACGTTTTATATAACTTATAACATTTATTTCGTAATGAAATAAGTTGTATTAAAACAATAACAAAAACTTACCTACGAAAATCGTGTCTATTTATTGGGCCCAGTGAAGCACTTGCACAACGCCTGAATGTAATGATTTAAATAAGAGCGAAGCATTTGGTCGTTCCCAAAATAGTTAAAGGCCCCAAGTTATAAACAACCCTGAGTCAACACACGCGAACTCAAAAAATCAATATTTAAACAATTACTCAAATCTATGTTTAGATGAGGTCAAAAAACACGTAAGAAAATGGTCGACGGACCATCATGCGCTGAAAAATGTGACTTTTCATGAGCACAAGTAAGAAAAACTATTGAATTCTAGTTACTTACGTTTTTGACCGCTAGCTGCGTATGAAATTAGCTGCGTCGCTTATTCAACTGATGAAAAATCAATAATTTTTAAGAGCACAGAATTTATTCATATTTTTCCATCGCGGGTCCCGCTTTTCTCTCGCAGAAAAACGTATCAAGAAAACTGTGTGCGAGCGAGACGCATGTATGTACCGAATTGTAAATAATTGACACTCATAACAAACGAGCGGGACGGAAAATGGCCCCTAAGACACGAAAATTATTACGTAATTTTATGAATATTTAAGACCACGCATATCGTACTTACCATTCACGGTGGTTTATTAACGTGAAAATATGTCCAATTCGTGTTTTAATTACGTTTAAAACATCGCGATTGCATTTTGACGGCGAGCGATCACCCGTCAAGCGAACACCATTTGCAGGAACGCCGAGCGTGCCTTATGGTGTTGTCACTATAAGTGCCATAAATTCCCCTTAAAAAGCGTATGTTTTAAGCATACGCTTTTTATACCATTAACAATTTCAACCACATATGAATTTACTATGTTAAGTTAAGAAATAAATTGAAGCAAACAAATAATTATTTAGGTGTTTGAGCTAACGATAATTTGTTACCTTTTGTTTACCGCGTAAGTAGGCGTTTTGCGAGTTTCTATAGGATTTATATTATATCAATTCACTACAATAAGTGCGTGCGCATTGTTAAAACAAGAATGTAAGAGTTTTCTCATATATAGTTAGGTTAGCATATCGAATTAATATTTTAGTGTAGTGCATTTATGGTAATCTTTTAAACTTCCTAATTTTCTGGGTCTATGATATTGTAATTATTAAAGGTAAATTTACCTTCAATGGTATTTCAAAAAAGTTAATTTGCCATAAACAGAGCAGTTGCAAGTTCACGAAATAGCAACATTTACGGAAAATAGACTCAGAATGACGTGTCTACTACTTAGCGGGAAATACAAAATCAATTTCCTCAGCTGATACTAGAGCGTAATTTAGTTGAAAGGGGAGATTAATTTTTTATTGGATGATAAAAAAATGAAACAAATTAAAACGTTTTTTTTAATATGCTTAAGGATACTAGGAAAAAAAATTCTAATTCATGGAATTAACGAAGGTTTGATACACAAAGTTTTTGGTATTAAACTTGCAAAATAGGATTTCAACGCGATAAATACGGATGTTATTGATCGTTATGAAGTTATCAAGATTTGTTTTTTTTTACTAAAAAAATATTGCTTTACGTACGAGTTTAAATGATAAGCTGCAATCTTATTATGTTAGCTAATAGCACAGCCAACCCAGAGATGGGCGATGTCGTAGCATTAACAAATTCTTTATCTATTTTATGATTTGTGAAATGACTTTAAAAATTCAGAATTTCGTACGTACTAAGTATCATGTTTTGTATGTACCTATGTAATAATATGATTGAAATTATAATGCTGGAATCACTTAAATCTCATCAAAGACTGCAATGATAAAATTAAAACAATTTCAAATGACAATTAACTTGATAGTAGATAAAATTGTTTATTGGGTGTCATCTGACAGTAGACAGATTTATTTTTATACGTGATATATATATTTTTTTTCTACAAGGTAAGAATATCAGGCGTCGCGTTTGCCAGAAGATCGGCGGCGCCAGACGCAGCCGCACACCAGATGTCGAGTCGCTTGGCCAGAGCACCGGCACCGCTGCGACCCAATGCGCGCGCCCGGACCCAGCTCACGTGAACTGTTTGGCTCACCTGTCAAAACGAAAATTCATATTCAACGAACGAGACTGATTTTATAGAATCTACTTTGATATACTGTAATGAAATTTTAAAAGATATTTTTTTCGACGAAAATTTAATAACGATCCTTACTCTTCCGTAATTTATTGTAAGTAATGCTTCAGTGAATATTATATTTTTTTAAATATATTTAAATCTAGCTTTTTAAACAGTACTATGTTACCATTACCAGTTCTTGTTCCTGGTGTCATTAAATAAAAAAAAATACAATATTACATAAAAAGCAATCTATCTTTAGAAACTCACCTGATCAATATGCCCTCTTATCAATTTCTCGGCCAGGGCCTTCATTACTAGCAATTCCACTTCATCATGAGGGACCCTCGCCTCACGAGCAATCTCCGCAAAGGTTAGCTTTCTCTGAGAAGATGTACGGTTGAAGGCCATCTAAAAAATTTTACATTTATTAGGTAACATCTTACCTTTTAAATGAATTTAGTCTGAAAATGGTCTGCAGAATATGTAGAAAAGGTTGTGTGTTGTATACATATTAAAGTTTTACCTCCATAAGACACAAGATGGCGATTTTCTGTCTCAGCTGACGATCCGCTTGATGTAACTCTTGGTGTGGGGCTTGTGCCCTGAAATAGTATTTTATTGAAATACATACTTAAAAACCTTTTAAATTTTTACATGTATCATTGGCTCGTTTAATTCTTGTTTTATTGTTGTCGTTTAGTTCTTGAATAAACAAGACATTTTCTCAGTAATAGGATGGGTGTTCTTTAAAACTCAAATAAGGGGAAACCAGAAAATATATCACTTCTGACTAACCGTATCTTCTCAAAGGCGACTACATCCCCAGAAGCAACAGCTTTGACGAGTTCACACGCCCAGGCATCTGGTGTACCTTCTAATGATTCCAATATTGGGTGAGCGAGCTGGAAATACAAAAACGAAATTTCAAGAGATTAATAACAAAAGAAAGTAAAATGTGTTCATTAGAACTACAGAATGAGCCCTATTGCATTTTAGTACAAGACTAATTTTAGAATTTTTTTTCATGAAGTTTATTTGCTGGGGTGGATTTTCTAAGTATATCTTGACCATTAGTAATTAATTATGAAAACAATTTTAGAAATATGTTTATATCAAATAGCTTAAAACTTTATTATTTTGGTAGAATTTCATGTTTATATTATATTAATAATTTTGTAAGGATATATTAACTATTTAGTATACTTATTATTTATCACCAATAATGTTGTATTAGTAAATTATTAGATACAGAAAGAGAAATTAAATACCAATACTAACCAATTCTCCTAATTCATACACATCTGGAGCAAGTACAGCGGCTAGCGCAAGGCGTAATGCGCAGGCACGCCTTTCTGTTGGTTCAAGGGCTGCACCACCACCTGCACAGCCCACATAACGGAGGGCTGCACGATAGTAACGACCCATTGGACCACGGACCCTAATAAAAATAAAGTTAAAACCTTACCAAACTGTATACAATTCTGTTACACACTTAACAATTAACCCAGTTTAATTTTATTACATTATTTGATACACATCATTGATATTAATCAAAAATAGGTAGTAAAGTGTTTTATAATGCATAAGTTTAGTTTATACCTATAATATTCAGAAGCTAGCTTATAAAATCGTCCATGGACAGGGGTTACTCCATCAGCATCTTCCAAGCTCCCTTCTAGATCTTCAATTATCTTTTCTGTAGCATCTAAATCATTTAGATGTTCTAAATATATCTGACCTTGAAGAACCTAAAAAATATTATTAATTTACTAATAGTGAATGTAATTCAAATGATTGGCTTTAGGTCAGTGGTGTCCCTTCAAGAAAGGTCACTTTACTTTGTTTCAGGATGAAAGTTGTTATAAAATCCGGGATAAAAACCTTTATTGAAATAAATCAATGTGAAAAGATTAACATATTACACAAATGATCTCATCACACCAGAGCCAGATAACACAAACTTGTATGTTAAAACTTACTGTCAATATTTATATTATTTTTAACTCAAAGTATACATGTTCATATACAATACTAATGAAATAAACTGATTATGTGTAATTTTCAGTCCTATTGGATACTACAGGATTTTTCTTAAAGTTTAATGCCTAATAGTTTTCCCATTATGATATGTTACAGAGGCCTATCGACCCCTAAAATCCGGTCTCAAAATTCTAATTTAACTGCAATAAAGTGCTTACTAAACTGGTTATGCTTACTTTACATAGAGCAAGAGCCTCATCATTCATCTTCACCTTTGCTTCAACCTTCTCCAGGAAAGCAACTGCATCTTTTTTGTTAGTGTACTGGTTTATAACATGTACAACAATTTCCACAAGTGAGAGTGGATTTATTCTGAAAAATAGAGTATTAAATCTAGATAAACATCTATTGAATTCAGCAATTTAATGGACTGGGTAAAATTATGATAAATTTAGACCCTGTAGACGTTTAAGTAATTAGACTACTGTACAAAATGTTGTCATACCTGTGTACAATGCCTAATAATATGCAATCGAAACTTACTTGTTCTCAAATGTGGTAAGGAAATTATTGTAAAGCTGTATTAAATTGTCGTTTTTCTGTAATGATGGAAGGAGGACCATATCCTGAACTTTTAAAGTGAGTTGATGCCATAGCCTGGAAACAAAGTCAAACATAAGTGGCAATTTAAAATAGTTTTAGAGCAAGCGAAAGGTACTTACTTTTTGTTATAAAGTTCTTCTAATTTAGCCCAATCTGCGGCCAATTCTGGCTCAGATGATTGCTTTTTTGATAGAAAATCATTAACATCAATAACAGCGAACTTTACTGAAGCCATGTTTTAAAAATTGTTTCGCGTAATTGTGAGAAGTTAGCCGCTACTTGATTCGACTGTCAAAATATGATATGTCATCGTTGTGACGCTAGCTGTTGTTTGTGTAGCCATCTTTAAATATAATGGAACAATGGCAGGTTTTTTTTTTTAATTATCTCTAAAAATCATTATAACCTTTATAATTATATAATTTTTTTAACTATAGTAACTGGTAGTTATACTCTTAGTTTCGTATACTGCCCTCTAGTGTTGAATGGCATATCATAGAAAAATAGTATCGTATACATACTACTACACTATAGATGACAGTAGAAGTACTCACAACAGGGGCCTTAGTCAAGATGCCTTCGACATCGAAAACTATTCGACACGAACTGTCATTTCCATACAAATTTAGTTTTCGACTTTCTACATACACTACTGTTAAGGCATCTTGACTAAGGCCCCAGGCAACATCAAAGATTAATAATGCAAGCTTAACATTTTTATATTTTAATATAACACCTCGTAATTAAGAAAAGTTTTATCGTGCTATAATTCGATTTCCTTATATGGATCTAATTAATAAGGTGTCTGGCTATTGAGCTATTATTTGTGTTAATATATTATTTTTATTACTCTTAGTTCAATAAATTATAAGATTTTTTGGACGTCGGAGCTTATTTTTCTAAGATCTTTAAAAAAAAATATATCTCTTAAAGCATAACCGAAAACAATGGTATTGTCAAGAAAAAATCCTAATATAGATATTAAAACGAAGAAAATAGTTTTTATTCGGTCGTAGTGGTGATATCTATACCCCTTTTTGATAAATGTATGTTGTCTATCTAATATAAAAAGATTTTATTAACTCTAATCAGTCATTCCTGAGATTATATCGTTCAACTTAACAAAGAAACTCGTCAGCTTTAAATATTACCATAGAAATGTTTAGTATAAAACTTACGTGACAGTAAAAATGTCCGTTAAGTGTGTCAAACGCTCATAATTTATTACATGGCAAGCTAAACCTTTCTAGTAATCCGGTATAATTTTTACTTTAACAACATAAACAACGGAGAATTAACTCATATTATTATAACAATAATAATATTATCTGCCTTTCAGTCTTCTATAGATTGCACTCCGGAGAATGCTTCAGGTACCTACCTAACTACACAACCTGATTCCGCCCTCCCCCTTTTAAACAACACTCATCTAGAAGCACGCTGGAGTTTTACTCCTTCGTTGTTGTAATTTTTTGTAAAAACAGCAATGAAATGGAACTCCTGGACAGGCGGGCCATCCTACACACCAACATCTCCAAACGTCTGGTCAGTTCTGTATATAAAAAAGAGCTGGTATTAAAGTTCTGCGTTCTTGCGTTGGAAGTGCACCAATTCTACTTTCCATGAGTCTAATACCACTTGCTCGTACAATGAAAAAGACGCGAAGAAAACGGGATGGCTTAGACCATAAATCGACGTTTTGTGTTAGGTATCTACTAGCTAATAAAACACTATTTTGACCGGATTCAAGTTATGTATTATTATAAATTTACAACTATTTAACATAATTTTAAATTTATCCGACGTTTCGCGTGCTTTACAGCGTGCGTGGTCACCGTGACCAATCCGGTCAAAATAGTGTTTTATTAAATGAATAAAAGTTATGTTAATCAAAGACAATACTCTCTACTAGCTGTGAAAACAGGCGCAGAAATGTGCTTACTCAATTCCCCGTCGAAGAGTTACGGTGTGTTAATAATAACAAAGACATTCCTTTGTCTACCTCCAAGCATGGTTTAGACCTAACTGGCCTAGTTCTAGACCTCATTTTTATGTATTTATACTTTTGTTAAGTAATCTAATACAAAATGTAAAACACAACCAGGAAACCCCCGAACGCAACTACTAGATACTCGTATATACATTGAACCTGTGGCTTCCCCAATGGCTTAGGGGTTTACTAAATTATTAGGGTGTCCCAGGTTTGTATCATGGCAAAACATCATTTTGAGAGTACAAACAGATGGAACACCGAATTGTCTTAAAATAAATTATCATTGAAACAGGAGCAGAGATGTATCTATTCTTTGACCCTCCCTACACAACTATTAAAGAACTCACTTTTCCATTTGTAGTATTTAATTATAAGGAATAGGTAGCTATTGATACCTAATTAAATTAATCATTAAATCATTATGTAAAAGTTTTGTCATACAGCTTTATTGGAGATCGGTACATAATATTATACTTAAATGATTTTATGGCGTAGTAGATACCTACTGTAAAAATATTAAACATTGTATCTGTATTATAAAGAGTAAAGCCATAGAAATACGTTTGTATTATTTATAGTATATTAAAGTAATTATTACAAAAGAAAACAAGTTTTATTTTTCTAAATCATATAATTGTGTAGGTACGTCAATTACCCACTTTCAAACACACACTCTTTGCATCAAAATCAGTTCATCTCTTTAGGACGAAACATACATAAACTTATGGTTGAAAAAATTGGTGAAGTTGCATATATATTAAGTAATTCTAAAGTTTTAGTTACTAGGAAGGCACCTTGTATAGTATAATAATTAGTAGGCATTCGAACAAATGCGTACTTTTCTTAAGTACAGTTGATACCAATAGGCATAAATTAAACCCATTTTTTTATGTATATGTCATACCTACGAGTGTTACATTTAGGCATAACACAATCCATAAGGTCGACCGGGCAAGGTGACTGGCGGAGCTAACTTTACCATTTGGCAAGTGCTAGTCGGCCGAGCATCACCCATAGACGTACCTAGCTACCCCTTGCAACCCTTCTGCAACCCTTCCAGACCCTTATAACAAAAAAAACCATGTCATATTCAAATCACTCGCCAACCCCTAAACATCCCTTATTCCTGTTGCTTTAATTCTTTCGTTTACAATAGTTTCGCGAATTTCGAAGTGTTTTTAGTTCTCAGTTGTGAATATTAAATTAAATTGTGCCGAAATCCTTATCAAGCGTTTATCCTTTTATTATCTGTCGCGAATTATCGAAAAAATTGTTTAATACGTTCTATGCCAGCGCGCGCGCGTGTCTATCAAACGGATTTTAGGCCTAAATTCACGGCAAACGCGCGAATTCGCGAAATTTTTGCACATGTTTAGTATTGTAATTTCTAATAAGATTTCAATAGGCCTGTAAAAGTGACTTTATTTTTATTATCCACGGACCCCGGTATTTATTATTAAAGTGTATTTTTGTAAAAAAAGAGCTGAAACATTATTTTATAGACATTTTATTGAGTGACTGTGTTTGGCGCGGAACGGTTTTAGAGAAGGTTCTGTGAAAATTACAATTTTGGATTACTTCTGGATTTTATTTGTATATTGGTAAGTAAAACACATATTTAATTTAAATTAAGACTTTTTTACAACTATCGTACCTATATACCGTTATCACATCCCACATATTGGATATTGACCCAGTGTTAACTGTTAATATTACAAATGGTCATAAAAATTATTTATTTTTCGACTGATTATTTTGTATATATGTACCCGTAATACATATTATATTTAAATGAAAAAGCATTTTTGACAAGTTAAACTTAAATATTAATATATTTTTCTTCTTATTCCTTCCAAGTTCCTATATAGGTAAATTGTCTCGGTGTCTGCCTCTCATGTCTTAAATGTACAGATCAATGAGATTGTTTTATATATAGGTAAATATAAATGTTAGATATTCAAAAGATGTAGATTTTAATATGATGGCTGTACCTATGTTAAGAAATAGGTACCATGGTTTAATCAAAATACCTAACTTATTTCTATGTCATTGTCATCCGTTCATAATAAACCCAAATGACAGACATAGACATAAAAAGGTTACGAAGACAGCGCTTTTACGTTGTGTATTTCTTTATTTCCGTTATGTATAGGTACCTACCTACTCCAAATTTCATATAAATTCGTTAAGCCATTTCAGCGACAATGTTTCGCATAAAGTTCAACTTTTTATTTATGTCCCTTTACTTTAAATACTATTTAAATGTAGTAAAAAATATTTACTTAAAAAAAATATGTGTTATAAACATATAACAAATCGAAAAACAGCGTTGAAAACTATGTTATCTGTATAATAGGTATAACAACCTATATATTGGGATTTTAAATCAAATTATATTACGTACAAAACAGCCCATTATATTAATATTTACTTGTCAACACAGAATAAGTAGATAAAATATAATATTCATAGAGGTGAAGCCTTCTAAGCCTCTAAATACTGACTAATTGTGTAAGTATAACATTCAATTTGTCAAAAAATTATCTATGTTTTACACGATTTAAAAACCATACTTTATAATGTTTAAGTACATGTATTTCTATATTTATAACGCATGCATTCTTCTTGCAATGTAGGTAGGTGAATGTTGTTTGTTAATTAATTAAGCAAAGTTTAAAGAAATGTGAATATATTATATAGGTATTGTGCTCTAATACTTAATTTCAATCGGTGGAGTTTTGTTATTATTTCATCATTCTTGATTTGTTAATAAAATATACGAGTATTTTATTAGATATAAATTGATAATTATTATTATTATGCTGTGTGCCAAAGTAAAAACAACTCACATCAACCAGAAACAATTTATTGAATTAAAAAGGCAAAACATACAAAATATGTTTGATCCAAAACAGACTTAATCAAAACTACACAAGAAATTATTAAAATTGGTTTATCGCCACGCCAAATATACGCAATAGCATATAGAATATAGCATCACTAACAGTTCACCTCACTATTAAAATCTACCTAATAAGCTACGGTGAAACCATAGGATTAGGTATATCATAAATAAAATATAATAAGGCGTCCCTGGATACGTTCTACGTATTATACCTTACGGAGGTTTGCCCAAAAAAAATTATGAAGATTTGTCCAGTGACCACCTAGACCAATTTTGTACCGTGACATTTTAGCGTCGCGTCGTTACTAGTTGGAGTCGCCAACTTCGACTCGATTCA